GATATTCATTTTCAAAATCATCCTCCCCAAAAATCAAAGGGTAATATAATACCCTTTCCTTTCAACTTGATACCCACATGTACTACCTCTGTACCTTTGTCTTCGGGTCAAATCCTCTTATATATTTTTGGCTTCTACAGACCCCTCATCTGTGTTGTGGAATCTCAATAAATACTTTAGGATTGCAAAATACGTGTCAATATCGTCGTGACAACTATGAAATCTATACAATAACGTCATTCACTACAGCATTATGGTTACAACGTTACCATAGTTCAATGCTAGTACTTCGCGTATTTTCCGACATTCTGGGGGCCGACAAAAGTGAAATATGTAATGAAAAGTTAAAAAAAACTTTACGTTCACAAATAAAATAATTAAGTCATTTAACCATAACTGATCAAATTAAAGTTTATCTCTCTGTCCATTCATAGATGTTTCTTCTGGCACACACGGCAGCCTCACGAAACGGTAATTTCCCATTGCTATGTTTAGGGGTCAGCATTTTATATTCCCAATATGAATTCCTACTAAAACCCATTTTACAATGTACTGAAACTTGATCACAATTTTAATCATATTATTCTATTGTGGAACACTTATTTTGGTGTTTGTCTGGACTGCGACGAAAGTCGCAGAATGTGAGATATTGGGATGACAATCCGGTGGCGGCACGAAAACTGTTTGCATTAAGCTTAATATTTTAGAGGATCAAACGTAAAATTTTGATTTGGAAACGAGCCAATATTGATGCGATGCGCTCAGATTTAACCAAATTTGCAGAGGAATTTAACTCTGAATATACAGAATCTACAGATGAAAGTTCTCTGTGGTCAGCATTTACAGAAAAATGTTCAAAAGTAATGGAAGAACACATACTATCTAAAACGGCTTGTTAGAGATTTAGATAACCATAGATAGACATAGAAGTAAACAAATGACAAGAAAGAAAAAATGAGATCATCGAAAGCAAAAATAGATGAAAAGTAAGAAACCAGAACAAATTTAAGAAGATAAAAAAGATGCACAGTCAACCTGCAGAAAATCCTATAACTCTTACATTTCAAATATGTTAAGTTCTGTCAACACTAATAACCCCAACGATTCTGAAGTTTCATTAAAGACAAACCTACTGAGTCAAAAGGAGTAGCACCCCTACTGAACAAAAAGCAAATATACTGAACGACCAATTTACACCAGTTTTCTCATCAGAACAAAGAGGAGAGGTACCAACAAAAGGCAACAGCCCATACTCGTCTGTACCGGAAATAAATGTGCAACAAGCTGGAGTTTACAAACTACTAAATAACATCAACCAACATAAAGCGACTGGACTTGACACAATACCAGGGAAACTACTGAAAGATTTAGCAAAAGAAATATCACCAATTCTAACAAGCATCTTTAATGCATTAATTGAACAAGGCAAAATACCAGACCAATGGAAAGAGGCTTTAATAACACCATTATTTAAAAAAAAAAAAAGGAGACAAAGGGAATGCATCAAAAACTATCGTCCTGTATCCCTGAACAAAAAAAATTTCCTATATACCTATTATAATATAACACAAGGTACTTAACTCGCATTTTTGAAAAATGTCACCCTGTCGCGAAATTCCGGTATATTTCGATTTCTCGGTTGTCAACCCCACTAAAACTTGTTATGCCGTAAATCGGAATTGATTTATCTACACAATGGTGTATAACACGCCTACCTTTGTTGTCGGAATCATTCGTAGCAGTCCTACCCAAGTATGTCAACCGTAATTATTTCGTTTATACCTTGTGTTATACTAAGGTATATAGGAATTTTTTTTTCTGAGACAAGTTCCTGTGTCCCTAACGTCGATTTGTAGCAAGATCATGGAACATATACTGCATAGTAACATCGTCAGTCATCTTGATGCAAATACCATCCTGTCTGAAAATAAACATGGTTTCCTCAAAAATAGATCATGTGAAAGTCAGCCTACTATTACTTTACAAGATCTAGCAGATGGACTCAACAGTGGGGATCAACTGGACTTGAATGGATAGTTAGTTTTCTTCAGGGCCAAACACAGCAGGTTGTTTTAGTTGGAAAGAAGCCAGAAACATCAGACGTTACAGCTGGAGTTCCTCAAGGAACTGTAAAGGGGCCTCTTCTATTTCTTATATAATATATATATATATAATTCGAGAATCTATCCTAAATTGAGGTAAATTACATGGCCTTCCAAATACTCTTTCGATTCCTAACATCACTGAAGAGACATTAATTGTCGAAATCCGGATATGGAGTACAAAAATCTTTGCACCTTTGTTTGCGGTATACCATCTTTGCCGCAAGTTTATTGTTTTCTGTTTGGTATTAAATTTTTAATTAAGATCCATTTATTACACCTTGTGATCCGTTTATTTGGCAATCGCCAATGGCAGTCAGCAGGGTTTAAGAACATTTGTTGTTCGACCTGTTAGTCAAGTGCGTTTTGTTAAAATATACTTTTTCACTTTTTTGGTCTTTTGGAAAATGTTGTTTGTGCTGTATTTAGACCCCTCTAACAAGAAATTTGTTTTTGCATGCACACGTATAAAAATTGCGGTTTTTATCCAACGCAATCATAGGTTTGAACGTTGTTTTCAATTTAGACTTGTATATATATATATATATATATAAGTCTGAAAATTACACCCAACAGTGTTAGAATTAGACTTTTATGCTGACAAATTTTTGTCCCTCAACGGGATTCGAACTCACACCTTTGATACACTACAGCACCAATCGCTTAGCCTCATGTCCAGCGCTCTAGACCACACGACCACATCCGCTATATAAAAATATAACTTCAATAGTCGTAGTGTTACCTTGTCACGTAAGGCGAATCTAGAGATAGACATAAGACATGTGTTTTAAGCGTGTGAAGATGTTATATTATTATTTAATACACAATGTATTTGTTATTTGTCAGCAATCTAACTCAACAATTTTTATATACCGTATGGGATAATGATTCAATTCATTATACAGTCACTAGAAATAAGTATATCATACAAACAAGTCTAAGCAAGTGACAACCATACAATATATATGCCCACTGGATCTCAGTGTGTTTGAGACACAGGGTTAATACAAATATTTATATAAGTCTGAAAAATTACACCCAACAGTGTTAGAATTAGACTTTTATGCTGACAAATTTTTGTCCCTCAACGGGATTCGAACTCACACCTTTGATACACTACAGCACCAATCGCTTAGCCTCATGTCCAGCGCTCTAGACCACACGACCACATCCGCTATATAAAAATATAACTTCAATAGTCGTAGTGTTACCTTGTCACGTAAGGCGAATCTAGAGATATATATAAGTCTAGAGATTTGCGAATCTAGAGATATATATAAGTCTAGAGATTTGCACAACGATACTAATTTAAGATGGTATTATACGAAGATGTTGTTATTAAATCGTGTTGACAAATATTTCGGCTTAACAAATAGCCTTCTTCAGTGTTAATTATTTTTTTGTTTTTGTTTTTGTTTTTTTGTTGTTTTTTTTGTATATATATATATATATATAACAAAGAAGTCTAAATTGAAAACAACGTTCAAACCTATGATTGCGTTGGATAAAAACCGCAATTTTTATACGTGTGCATGCAAAACAAATTTCTTGTTAGAGGGGTCTAAATACAGCACAAACAACATTTTCCAAAAGACCAAATGAGTGAAAAGGTATATTTTAACAAAACACATTTGACTATAGCTGGTCGAACAACTGATGTTCTTAAACCCTGCTGACTGCCATTGGCGATTGCCAAATAAACGGATCACAAGATGTAACAAAATAGATCTTATTATTATTAATTTATTACTAAACAGAAACAATAAACTTGCGGAAAAGATGATATACCGCAAACATGAGGTGCAAAATTTTTTACACCATATCCGGATTTCGACAATTAATGTCTCTTCAGTGATGTTAGGAATCGAAACGGTATTTGGAAGGCCATATAATTTACCTCAATTTAGGATAGACTCTTGAATTTTGAAAGAGTCAAAATAGGATGAACGGATCATATAAACCCGAAGGCAAATATAATACAAGCCCAAACGAAAAAATATAAACAAGTCTAAATTGAAAACAACGTTCAAACCTATGATTGCGTTGGATAAAAACCGCAATTTTTATACGTGTGCATGCAATACAAATTTCTTGGTAGAGTATATATATATAACATGTATAAATGACCTGCCATAAATAGTAACAACTAAAGCCAGATTATTCGCAAATGATTGCTTACTTTGCAGAGAGAAGGACACCATCTTACTCTAAAGAAAGACCTAAGCAATCTACAGAAATGGGAAGACACATGACTAATGCATTTCAACCCTGACAAATTCGAGATACTACGGTAACAAACAAAAGGAAACCAATTACCAAGAACTATACCTTACATGGAAAGATTAGATTAGATTTAGTTAAAAACGCAAAATACTAAGGCCTTACTATCCGCCACAAGTTATCATGGAACTACCACACAGAAACAGTAAACAAAAAAGCGAACAACATCAATTGTTTCTTGAGAAGAAATATCAATTCCTGTCCAAATAAGATCAAGGCACAATGTTATACGACACTAGAAAGACCAATAATGGAGAATTCTTGTATCATTTGAAACCCAATAACTCAGAAAAACATCAGATAATTAGAAATGATGCAGAGAAGAGCTGAATGGTTTGTTACTGGCAACAACAGAACCACCAGTAGTGTAACCCAGATACTAGAAGCCTTGCATTGGGTCGAATCTGTTGTATCCTTTATCTCAAGTTCGATTGGATAGATGCGTTCAACATAGTCGCCAAATTTTGAATTATTTATTGAGAGAACATCGTCTATATGTAAGTTCAATTAAGAGTCGGCACATATGTACAGTTAACAATAAACACAAGCTTAAGCAAGCCTTTACAACCAACTATTGCATATAAACAAAACAAGATTCAGCTAAGACAAACACACATAATCAAAACAATAATATAATTATCAAATACGATAAGCATACAGAAAAGTCAAATACAAAAAGTATACATCAGCATTAAAAAGAAATAAATTAGGTTAAAAAAAACACTAAAACATTTAACTTATCTACATAGATGATTTACAAAATTTTTATGAGGATAACACAATTACAAAATCATCAGACGCACTATTATATGATGTCTGGATCCCCCATAGTTCTTCATTTCTGTAATTACATAAACGGTACTAATTTTTCTGCACCAGATGCGCATTTCGACAATCAATGTCTCTTCAGTGATGCTCAAGTTCAAAATATTTGAAAATCCAAAGCTTATTAAAAAGATGAAGAGTTATAAACCAAAAAGGAAAAAAAAGTATAGCCAAAGCCGGGCAGGGAATCAGAGCTTTGCATGAGGGAGATACATACCTTAATTTTAAATAATTTCAAAACAGTTTTCTTGCGATTATTCTCTATTCTTTATACTTTATCTCCCCATTATTCTCTTTTCTTTATTATTTTGTCATCTATTCTTGATTTTCTTTGCATTTTTCTGTAATGTAGTATAAGCATATATAGCAGGAATGGTAGCCTAAAAAATTAGAATCTTATTGCAATTATCAAAAATGTAAAAAAAAAGATATAGCATAAAAGCAGGAATATATACAGAAATAAAGGCAACAGTAGTATACCGCTGTTCAATAGTCATAAATCGATTAAGCGAAAACAAATCCGGGACAAAAACCAAAACCGAAGGAACACATCAACTATAAGAGGAAAACAACGGAACCACAGAAACACTGAACTGCTACAAAAATAAACACCAACATACATAGAAACTGACTTTTTGATAACAACTGCCATTTTCCTGACTTGGTACAGGACATTTAAAGACAAATGGTGGGTTGAACCTGGTTTTATGGCTAGCCAAACCTCACGCATATATTGCAATGTTAAAAATACCGCTAAAACGACAACATTACGTGAGAGGAATACAGTACAAATAAACGCAAGAGCGCATACAGGCATGACAAAGCAATGTTTGGTATTTAAAGGCACTGCAAAAAAACATTTTGTAAAATAGTAAAATAAAATGCACACAAGAGTCATTGAAATCATTTTTGGCATATTATATTATATCTTCATTCATGCCATATTCTTCTTTCAGCTTCTGTATATAGAATGGAAATCCGTCTCCTATATTTACTTCAGCAGATGTCATGCTATTAACTCTTATTCTACTCCTCTTCAGCTGAACCTTCCATACCTTGCCTGAACTATAGTATTCCCCTAAGAAAAAACGCACAGAAGCCTTAAAAAGTTCAAATCTGTGTGTGATTTTCGAATAATGCTCGTTTACACAAGACTCCTCTGCCAATAAGGATTTTGCTGCTTCAGTTGATTTATACCAGAAATAAAGCCATAGTAAGGCATATAAGACGTCTCCGCCTCCAATCTTGTCCCCTATTACAGTAAGTTGACGATCAAATTCCCAATTAAAACCAGGAGTTTCAAAAAGAATTCCCCATGTATCCATATCCCGAACAAAAAAACATGGCATCCTTAATTTGAAAAAATGACTTCCTAAATAACTGAGAATGTTTTCAATGCAATCGCCAAAATGTGTACCCGAGCATTGTATGTCTCCATGAACATGGAACATTAAGGCAGTTTTGAGCATGTAGGATGATAAATTGATACACTTTCCGGGATAATTTATTTCCCCAATAACCAAAGATTTTAGAACTTTGTAAGCTTTTTTGTGTTTTTCATCCATATTTTGCATTGTCTTTAACTCAATGGCAGCAAGTGTTATAAACCAACATGGTGGGTCTGGAAAATGATCTTTATGGCAGGATTTGGCAATGATGTGGCATCCAGTTTCTTGTAAGTCGCATTGGAATTTTTTAGGGAATCCAGAATATGACAAAACAGTTGTCACGTTTGGGTGTTTAATAGCTGGCATTAAATCTATTCCAATTTCGATTGAATCCTTTGGTACGAGACCAGGTGAATTGTTCGAAGGTGTTAACATACACGAACCGACATACTTCAAAAGTAACTTCTGTTTGTGATGAGGAATGGCTGTTATCTTCCCTTTCCTTGTTTCGATTGAAAATTGTTTCTCCTTTAAAACGGACGAAAGCTGTTTCCAAAAATCATAAACGATCTTCGATGGTTCCCCGAGATATTCCTTTTTATGTGGTAGATATTTGTTATAGATGGTCTTTACATCAGCGTCGACAACTTTGATCTTCTGGAACCACGGTGTACATCCCGTTTCTAACTCTTTGCTTTCCTTCCTCGACAGATTTTCGAAGACAATCATAAAATCAAACTCATCTTGTGGCCCGACTTTGGTACCTTCGTAAAAACTCCCAGATTTAATAATTTCCCCAATTTTAAAAGCCGGGTTTGCTGTGCCAACATTGTCCAGAATATCACGGAGAATTTGTAATGTCTTATTTTCTACATCGTTAACCTCCTCGTGGTCGAGCTGAAATGTACACTTTTCTTTATAAACCCTCTCCAGGAACTTTTCTCGCATAGGTGATTTTATCTGAAAGTATACAAAACATTTATGAGACCAGAACAATTAATAACAAAGGTCATGTAAATCATAAAGGTAGCAACGGTTAAAATATACGTTGAAAGTTACTTTTAAGTATTATGTCTGTATCTCACAATGAATTGGTGGGGAAGGAAACCCTAGAAGGTAAAATGGGAATAAAACTATAAAAAGATAACATAAGATATAGTGGGTGAATCCTTGAACAGTAAAAGAAAATAGGAAATTGCATTTGATCATCGTCTATCATTTTCGCACTCAAGACTGCGAAGAATACAATTTCAAAAAGAACACATTCCTGGTGTCAAGTATTTTGCCGCTATTCTTTCACGGACTGTAACTAACGTTACCTTTGTAACGTCAACACGTTTATTACGTTATTGTAGTCATACAAGCAAGTAGAGTCATTAAAAGCAATTAGAACTGTTCACACGTATTCTATTTACACAAGCGAAGTACTAACCAAATAAACCCAAACATTGGTGCCGTGACTCATGGAGAAGCTGAAAGCAATTCGTGGTGGACACAGAAGCGCCGTCACAAGACTAATCAATAGAACTAACCAGAAAATTTCAGAAAATGAAATCGAGAACCAAGAACTTTCGGCAGCCACAGACACTCTGATGAAAAAGAGGAACTTACTCGAAACTTTGGACACACAGATTTTAGATGGAACAGAAGTTGGAGATATGGAACAGGAAATTTTGGATAGTGATGAATTCAATTTACATTTGGAAGTGTCAATTCACAAATTCAAGGACATTACATCAAACTCAGGAGCTAGCGTTCTAAAACCTACGGTGAGTGATTTTTTAAATCAAGGTCCAGCAGCACATATTTCAACACTTCCAACAACAAGCAATATTAATCACAACACAAATCAGACACAGGATGCTTTTCAAAGCACTTTTGTAAATCACGGAGCAAACGCAACTTATAACTCTTCTCCGAATTTCTATTATAGACTACCAAAGTTAGACTTGCCTTCATTTTCGGGAGATATTTTACACTGGCAGACATTTTGGGATTCGTTTGAATCAACCGTACACCAGAATCCTGCTCTTACAAACATACAAAAGTTTAGTTATTTAAATTCACAACTCCATTACGAAGCAGCACATTGTATTACAGGGTTAGCCCTAACCAACGCAAACTATGATCAAGCAATTAATTTACTGAAGGAGTGTTACGGTCATCAACAGAAAATTATCAACGCACACATGCAAAATCTTCTTGATTTACCAAGTCCTTCATTTACCCTCAGTAGTATTAAGTCATTTTATGACAGATTGGAAGCGAATATCAGGGGACTTGAATCCCTAGGTCAGACGCAAGATACATATGGATCCCTTCTTGTACCCATAATTTTCGGGAAACTACCCGCAGAAATGAGGAAAAACTTAACACGGGAACACGGAAAAAATAGCTGGAATATAATATCGCTGCGTGAAGCTTTAGCAAAGGAGATGTATGTACAAGAGGCTGGTAATGTTAATACATGTATGTCCGATAATATGACATCAACTGCGTCTTTTCACACGGGAGCCGTTCCTACGACAAGCACAAATAAACAACAATTTAGGGGAAATCAGATCAAGACCATGAATACACGCTTGACAACTAAACCATGTGTATATTGCAAACAGTCGCATTCGTCAGTAGATTGTACAAACATTGTAGACCACGAAAAACGCTTTACCATAGTTAAACAGAAAAACCTTTGTTTCAATTGTCTCGGAAATCATAAAGTTTCAGAATGCCGTTCTAAATTTAAATGCCGTAAATGTAATAACAAACATCACACAAGCCTATGTAATAAAGACAAGACAAAATTACACGATGAGCAGACAACCGCATCTGTAAATACAGTTGATATTGAAGAGGGAAATAGTAACACATCTATATTTTACACTTCGTCAACATTGCCCATGCAATCTAGAACTTATGTACTACTGAAAACAGCAATTTCACCAGTTTGGACAGGAAACCAGACCGTATCCGCAAATATACTGCTAGACGAAGGCTCACAGAAATCTTTCATTTCAGAAAATTTAGCTACAAAATTACAAATTACAACAAAGGGAACCACCACAGTCAGTCTAGCTGCATTTGGAGATGCAAACAGGAACGTACGTAACCTTGATAAAGCGGTTATTGAGATGGAAACCCAACAAGGAGAAAGAATACCAATGGAAGTGCTTATTGTACCCACAATAGCTGCCCCTCTACAGAACCGAATGAATTACGAAGCATCTAAACTTCAGTATTTAAAAGATTTAAGATTAGCACACCCCGTATGTGAAGACGATAAATTTGAGATTTCTTTGTTAATAGGCGCAGACTATTATTGGGACATTGTTGAAAACAATATAATCCGCGGAAATGGTCCAACAGGTGTGAAATCAAAAATTGGGTATTTATTATCGGGACCGATGATCAACACAACAGGTATTACAGTTGCAGCTTCAATGATGAATATTTTGGTACAACATAAGAAGGAGGAGATTGATTTAGAGCGTTTTTGGAAACTGGAATCCATGGGAGTTACAGCAGACGATGAGTCAACACAGACAGACATAGATTTTTATGAAACATATCAGAAATCTAGTATTATGTACAAAGATAATCGATATATTGCCAAATTACCGTGGAAAGACGATTTTCAGGACTTACCAACTAACTACAATATAACAAAACGTCGTACTGAAAATTTAATAAACAAGCTCAGTAAGGACCAAGACATGCTAAAAATATACGGAAGTATAATTAACGATCAAGAAAAGCGTGGATTTGTTGAGAAGGTTAATGAGGAAACCGACAGAAGTACAAGAATTCATTACATTCCATATCATGCTGTTAAAAAAGACTCAACAACAACACCAATACGCATAGTTTACGATTGTAGCTGTAGAGAATCACCAGACAAAGCCAGCTTGAATGATTGTCTAATGTCAGTTCCACCACTTATAAATGATTTGACAGGAATTATCGCAAGATTCAGACTACACAAGTTCGCAGTAACAACGGATATCGAGAAGGCGTTTTTACAGATTCAATTAGACGAAGAAGACCGAGATGTAACAAGATTTCTTTGGTTGAGCGATTCGAGCGACCCTACTAGTCCACTAATCACCTATCGTTTCCGAGTAGTTCTTTTTGGAACAACTTGTTCTCCATTCATGTTGAATGCCACAATCATGAAACATCTGAAAAATAATTTGTCAGATACTGCTAGAGCATTGAAGAGAGACCTGTATGTGGACAACGTTTTGTCGAGCTTTCATAGCGAGGAGAATTTACTATCATTTTATAAAGAATCACGTCAACTTTTATCCAAAGGAGGATTTAATCTTAGGTCTTGGACATCAAACAATAGGAAACTGCGCAATATGGCAGAGTCGGAGGACTGCATGGACAAGAACAAAACTATTAAAATTTTGGGACTTCGATGGAACACTGAAACTGATACGATATCGTTTCAAAACAGCATTAAAATTGATAAGGAGAAATCTGTTACCAAGAGAGAAATTCTTCAACAGTCGTCAAGGATATTTGACCCGTTAGGAGTATTAAGCCCAATCACCGTCCGAGCTAAGATTTTGATGCAGACTATATGGGAGAGGAAATTTGACTGGGATGAGCTCTTACCAGATGATATAAAGAGTATATGGTACGCTTTATTGGAGGACTTACAACAAGCAGTCACACTTGAAATACCAAGATTTTATTTCACCAATGAATCATCTGCAAATATCAACACCAAGGTAAGGAAACTACATGTATTTACCGATCAGCACAACATTATTCAACATTTTCGACGAAGATGGAAAAATGAATATCTTACATCATTAAGGGAATACCACAGGACTTTAGGACACAATAATCAGACTATCAAAGTTGGTGATGTGGTTAAAATACATGAAGATTCGCCTAGAATTAATTGGAAGCTAGCCATTGTAGATGAACTATTGGTTGGCAAGGATGGACTCGTTAGAGCAGTGAATTTGCGTACAAACAATGGACATACAAATCGTCCAATTTCAAAGTTATACCCGATAGAGGTTTCTTGCGATTTGTTTCAATCAACACTTGACACCAAAGAACGGAAATCGAAGAAGGACGCCAGGGAAAAGATTCGCCAGTTGATGTCTTAATTTTATACTTATACAGACTTTAATTTTTCAAATGATTTTTATTTTCTACATACATTGACTTTAAGTTAAACTGTGAATATTTGCGATATCTATGTATTTATTAAGAATTTTTATCATTTTCACTTCTCGGCGCCCCCAGTGTCAAGTATTTTGCCGCTATTCTTTCACGGACTGTAACTAACGTTACCTTTGTAACGTCAACACGTTTATTACGTTATTGTAGTCATACAAGCAAGTAGAGTCATTAAAAGCAATTAGAACTGTTCACACGTATTCTATTTACACAAGCGAAGTACTAACCAAATAAACCCAAACACCTGGTGCGCAATTCTCTGTATGAATGAAGTGTTAATAAGAACAGAGACTCCCAGGAACCTTTAAGCAAATCAGACTTTGCATCACTTTGATCTTATCAGTATGAAAACTTTGAAACTGATTTCAGTCGAACTTTTTGACGAACATTTTCCTAAATTTTTTTAAGTGACATTGTCATATTGGTCTAAAATTTGGATCTACCAGCATGATTTTGGGAAACGGAACCACCAAATAGCCAGTACACTAAATTTGGACCCAACTGGTCGAGTTATTTATCAGAGGATTTTATAATATTTTTTGCTGATTTATCTTTTTTAGTATCACATCCATGTTGGTTCAAGGTCTTTTTGAGTTGGGAACATAAAAGATTTCACTTAATCTACGAATTAACAGTCTCTATAGAACAACAAAATTATTTTACCGAAAAGTAATAAAATATATCATTTTTAAAATTGCTCGGAAAGCTTCGCAGTATCATAAATTAACCAATCCAGTAGTCCAGAATTCTGTGTCGACATGAATTATCATTGATATGGTCATATCTATAAATTAACTGTCTACAAAACTTCGAATTGTTCAAAATACTAAGAATTTTTTGCTCAAGGAATATATGACCCTTTGGAGGGGTTCGTGTTGCTCAGTCTTTAGTTTTGTATACTGGTGTTTGTCTTTTGATAGGTTTTTCTTTTCTTGTCATGGCATTGTCATTTTGTTTTCGACTTATGAGTTTGAATATCCCTTTGGTATCTTTTGCCTCTCTTTTACCTGTATTTGGTAAAACCTTTTGGAATGTTGGGTACTCAATGCTCTTCAACATCATACCTTATTTGGCCTTTTAACCTTTTTTATTCGAGCGTCGTTGATGAGTCTTTCGGGATCGAAACGCACGTCTGGCGTGATATCTTAGATGAGTTATGATACATCAGTGTTTTATCAAAAACGTTTGCCAAATGATCCATAATTTACTTTTATAAAAAATTATAGCCACTTGAAATACAAATATTTTGTTTTAGAAAAAGACAAATATCATAATAAAAACCCCTATATAATGCAGAAAATTCCCTTAAAATGACACCATAAATGTTTTGAGTGACAACATTTTTGTGACGAGATTTAAAAAAAACAGTCGCCATGTTTATGGATACCAAATGTGCTCCCTTCTTGTGAACTTGTTCCTTTATTTGTACAATGATAAACTTCTTACAGAAGCCCTAAAGAAGAATGAAAATACAAAAATATTATCCTTTAATTTCACATTTTGCTATTTCTATAATATTTTGAAATCAAAAAGTTGAAAGTTTCGTGACTTTAATAACCCCATCATGATTTGGTTGACTGTTTTGAAATATCTGTATCATTGACGGATATGTTCCTCTAATTTTCACAATACCGTCCTTTTTTCATCGATTGTGACAGTACCGTATGTAACATATTTCTTATCAATTTATCAATGAACAAAACGATAATGTCGCATTTATGTTGCTCTTTGATTGTTTCCAGTGTTTTGGTATTGTTAGTTTTAGTCTTTTTCTTGTGTTGTCTGTTGTTAGGGGACACATTGCCTACTTGATATATGTTTCCTCATGGTAAAGGTGAAGTCATTCCTTAAAAAGTAACGAAGGCTTATAGACTCAAGAAAATACGTCCAAAATTTTATGTTTAGCGTTCCTTTTAATAGTAAATCCTAAAATGGACAAACTAAAGCTATAACGTGATTATTTGGACGTCATCATGACTGTTATTAAACATCTTTGTCACAGATGCACGAGGTAATGTTTTTCTACTGTCGAAGCATCGTTCACATTGCGTTTTTTAGTTTCCTAGATGACAACATCAACTTTTCATCGAATTTTATACTTCCTAGTTTTGAGTAGAGTTTTATGACCCAAAAACCCGGTCTCGCTCCTCAGGTTTTGTTTGTAAATTGCTTCTTAATCGATATGTGAGATTTCAACATCTGTAAGCTACTGTTGTCTACATTTTTAGATATACGCGCTGCATTATATAAAGTTAAAACCAGTTATGCTTTAACCGGAGCAGTGGCAGTCGAATGTTCCGGAAACTTGAACCCAAATATATAGATTGCATGTGGTTTCATAAATAATGAAAAGTCTAAGTGGAAAATCAATTATATAGAATTATGCTTTAGCAGCCATGTTGAATGTCGATTTTACAGTTATGAAGTGTGACCAAAGTCGACAAGTTACATGTAATTAGATTTGGAAATTGCTTTGCACAACCACTGTCACTAATGACAGTGTACAAACCCAACGTTAATTGTTAACATCGTCAACTCAGTATTTAAGTGAGTTGTTAGGCATAGACTGATAGACACTATTTCTTTCATTTGATTACTCAAGCACTTGAATTCGTTGCTAGTCAAGTAATATCATGCAAAGAGCGTTCGTTAATTCCTTATAAATGTGACTTTAGTTGTGATATGTTGTAACCTCTCTTAATATTTGTCAGGAACTGTCAGGGGAACTGTTCTAGAACAGTCAATAGAGCAGTTCTCCTGACAACTCACACTTGTAAATGAATTTTAGAGTGAAACGGTCATTTTGATCTTAACATCATCTGAAAAGTCTAAATACCTTTTAAGTTATGTTCAGTCGTTCAGTCAATTTTCGGACTTATCCACTGCGACAAATGCATTGCTGCTCAGACAATTCACTAGCAGTCAATTCAGTACTGTTCAGTAGCTTTTCAGACAATTCAGTATGGTATTGATGTGTACAGGTAAATAACAACTACTGAACAGTCCGATTATAGACGGAATCTTATGTTCGTCTTGCAGTCAGTAAAAAAACACAATTGGAAAATTGAACACTTACTGTAAATATTCTATGACAATTACATCCTTCAACAAACGTTTTGAAGAAAGCAATATCTTATACATTATTTATGTTCAGAGTCTGAGACATAACGACATAATGTGTTCTCATGGTTGTATGAACAATTCCCCAAAACTCGATGATGGCAATTTTCAACATGTTACACAGTCTTTCTTCTAGTTGATTGCACAATATTTTCCTTAAACATTCACTGACATCTTCGTTCGTCTTATCATTGCATCGTCGTCAAAAATATATTGGAACGCATTTTGTGTCTTACACATCCTTGGCAACAGGATGTCACATAACATATCATTGCATAAGAAAACAACCATCACCGGATGTAAAGCAATTTACGTTTCATCCCTGTTTACAAGCGATGTCATCTCGAATTTCAAGTTTTATAGGAACACCAAAGAAAAAAATAATGGTGCTTTGAAACACACAAAATATATGTGTATGAATCAGAAATATTTTTTGCAATGAAATGCAGGGTTAATTTCCTACAACTGTCAAATTCAAAGGAATATTTTTTCTACCATTTTTAGCATGAATCCGGATGTCACGTACTATGTTTTGGTGATATTTCACCTAAAGTGGAGTACCTCCTTACAATCTTGACTTAGCACACGAGATAGAATTGCTGACAGACACAAAAATAATAATCAATAACTAAGTTTTTACGGCCAACCCTCCTCCACTACAAAAAAAATGTATTTGGAAGACATTTTGAATTATATGTTATATTAACATCTTTAAAATTTTTTGCTGAAATTCTTGCACAAAAGGATTTTTTCAACACTGTGGGAATATTTCTTTTATGATTGTTAACAGTGCATAAAAATTAATCAGTGTATACAATCTTGACTTATCGTACGACAAGTAAGTGCCGAGGGCCAGACAGTTGGACAGACAGAGAGACAGACAGACAGACAGACAGAGTGACTACTATAGGGCCTAACAATGTAAGAACCTTATAAACAAAATGTAGGTATAGTATAGTAAGACGTTGTAATACTTACCATTCTTGTGTGACCAGGAGGAACAGGCAGATAAAACCAGGACTTTGATGAATCGACTGCGGGACGGTCGAATATTTGATCAAATACTATAAGGAAGGCAATGCCAGATCTGAAATATAAAAATTATGATAAATACATGAGTTTGGGTGGGGTCCTTCAATTTTATGTCATTTTTCTCTATTCCTTATAGGGGGCCTCGGTGGCCGAGTGGTCTAAGTAGTTACTACTGTATTCACTAGCCAGTCAACACTGAGGTTGTGAGTTCGAACCCCGCTCGTGCGGGTGCATTCGACTCCAATCTTAATTGACTAGGATTGTCAGTTTTCCTATCGAAGGTCGGTGGTTTTCTCCGGGCACTCCGGTTTCCTCCACCAATAAAACTGGCCGCCACGAAATAGCCCAAAAGCGGTGCTTAAAAGTGGCGTTAAAACACAAAAAATCAAAATCAAATCTATTCCTTATATTTTTTATTCATTATTCTTTACATTTTTGAACCCCATCATTCTCTATTGTTTAATTTTTGAGTCTGTTTTCCCGTATTCAATTTTTAGTCCATTATTCGGTATTCTGGAAACCCGATGCAGACCCTCCCAAATATGAAACTTTACAAATAAATTCATTTGAAAGTATTATTGTGTAGCATTTAAATCACAAACAATGTCAAGGATTTACAAATGTATAATTGACACAATTGCACAAGTGCAAATATGCGGAATACAATTAAATGGTAACAATAATTGTAAACAATTAGTTTATCAATGAGAATGGAAATTGGTCCCTAAAGTAAGTTGATCATAAGAGTCAATAAATACTATACAACAATGGACCTTTATTATACTTTAAGATTAATTATAAAATGTTCCGAAGGAAACACAATAAGGGGACTATCATGAGTAAAGGAGGATATTGAAATGAATATCCTAGCTTGAAAGCACTGAAAATAATCATCTTACTCAAAAGAGGATGAAAATGAGAAGTCTGCAATACAAAACGCAGGAAATAATTGTGTACAAAATTGAAAATAGAGTAAATATGCGTAGCAACAAATGAAAAAAGATATGCCTCAGTTACCGCAAAAAATCCTCCTGTACTCCTCTACCCTGAATATCAAATGGTTTCCCCCTCAGCGAAATCGATGGAGCGAAAAAAATCTAATACTAAAAATAAAAGCCTATAACCATTAACTGATTTGACAAATGCTGAAATCATAACTACAGTACCTGGAATTGTTGTTTCTGGTTTGACGTACGTATTCCGCGTTGATAATATAGACACAAATCACAGTGTATTTAATCAAAATACAAGATAAAACTAGTTTGGAATATCTACCAAATAGATAAAAACATACATGAATCAACTTATCAACATACTTTATCCTCCATTAACAACTTCCTTCATTTAGTTTTTTTTGCCGGTTTCTGAGAAACTATTTGATAACACGATTCACCGAAATAAAGATTGATTATGTCGTAAATACTCGGACATGCTCACCACACCTACATGCAATTTTCGCCACGCCTACAAATCGTATTATCAATTCTAATCACTTAACATGAGCATTAGCGATAAAAAATTTGCGGTGTATACCGTTATATTATGGAATACCTTACTCTTGCAAATGGAAAGAAAAGTCTTTCCCATTGTATTTAACTCGACGGAAAAAATACTAGAAATATATCTTTTTTACATCAAAAAGAACATCTTCAGCAAAATGATTGCTAAATCCAATTATGGAAGACCATTTAAATATTTTGTAGGAGTTGAGGTTGGGTATATTTTTTCGGACGGGATTTTCATTTTGAAAAATCTTCCTGCACCCACCAACCTCCCCTCTTCCTGCACATCGAAATAAAATGTTCCCCCCCTCCTTATTACCATCAATGGAAAAGTTCTCCTGGTTAATGTCCATGCTAATTCTCAAACATATCCCACTTTGAACGAATAGTTTCCATATATTATATATATTATTGTCAATTTGTCTAATAGATATGCCACCTTACTCATTCATTGCATGTTTAGGTGACTTCTCATTATAAACCTGTTCAAAATATATGGGTGTTAATTCCCTCTGTTTTTCCCCTTTATATTTCCAGTTGAAATGAAACAAAAGAATTGGAACTCTTTATAAGGTAAAATTTGCAAATTTGTTTATTTGAATTAATTACATCTGTTTCGATGGCCTCTAAAAGTTTAATGTAGGTGCATATTTTAGGATTTATTTGTATCTGATATACATGTTTGTAATCAAATTATATTATGGAGCTTACAGATATTTGTAAACCTTTAAATGAAAGTCAAATTTTCACAAAAAACATCACAGTAAGTGCAAATACTTTCGGATCTTTAACATGTATTAAACATAAATTCCATCAACAAAATCCACAGAAAGAAGAAAGACAGATCTTTTAAAGCATAAATTTTCGTCTCTGCCCCCCAACAACAGTATTTTGGGAAACAATCCAAAACAAATGAACAATAATCTTATCGAAAAGAGAAAGTCAGATACACTTTTTTTTATGTTCAGGCGTATTTCAGTTGACTATTTTTCCTTGAAACGTATAAACGGAGGGTATCACCAGCCTAGTAGTCAGCATATATGTACTGGAATCAATGTCCTCAGATTATAGATTTGACAATCTTTTGGAAATAGTTTTGTTTTTGTTTCAAATGCACCACTTCAACTTCCTGATTTGGCTTCCCCATTGTTTTGATTCAAGCGCCACTGGTGAGTCTTGTGCAGACGAACTGTGTGTCTGGTATTTTTCTTCTTACGGCATTTATCTTTAATTGTAGTTACAGAATTAACTTTTTTAACGTTTTATCAACCTGGGAAGGTTTGAATTGTTTCCCAAGAAAATTTAGAGATACTATTTATTCGCGATTCATCTATTTAAAAATTATTTTTGTTCAAAGTCAACTTTCATGTGTTTTACTTATTTAGATAATAATGTTTCATTATTCAATTTGGTATAGGCTCAGGTGACTATCTAAAGGGGCGTGGAAGATTTCAAGGGGACATTTAAGGTGTAATACCACCATTGTTTTTCCCCTATTAGTCCATGTTAAATTTGCACTTTTTAAAAAATTGTGCAGAATTTATCTTTGTTTCAAATAAAGAAATACTTGGCATGAGTAAAGTTTTATCCTATCCGTACTACAGACAAAATTTCATTGCATGTAAGATAATAACCATCACTGGAAGTTAACCAATCAAATTTCCACCCCTTTCTTTCCTGTTTACAAGCTTTAGTAAACATGTAACCTCAAGTTTCCAAAATATTCTATAGAAACACCAAATAAAAAAATAATGGTGCTTTGAAACACCCAAGTTATATGTTTATGACTCAGAATTTTTTAACTGCAATGAAATGTAGGATTAATTTCCTACAACTGTCAAATTCAAGGGAATATTTTTAATTGACCCTTTTTCGTATGCAACCGGATGTGACGTACTATGATTTGGTGGTATTACACCTTAAAACTCATTCGAGTACTGACAACACCATGGCAAAAAACGAAAGACGACGAAAAGACAAACAACTTTTTAACGTATCCAATGGTCTTCTGTGTTTGCTCAGTATATAATAATGTCATCTAAGAAGACTAACGAAATGTTACAAATCTTTTTCTCGAAAACAATGTTGCATCAAACGCTGGAAAATTGACGGCGGTTTGCATGATCCGAACGCCATTCGAATATATACATAATGTTAAAACGATGTCGTTAAAGCAGTTTTCCCGGTATCACTTTCATGCATCGACACAACATTGTATAATCTATTTATTAAATCCATTGTGGGAAATAACTGTGTTCCGCTTTCCAATTGTGAACTTTCCATTTCCATGAAGCAACATTCATGCAGCGCCTGCATACTGAGTATATATCTTCCAGTTGATACAATTTTCCATGGCTTGTATTTCCTATCATTGTTTCCTTGATAGATGGTTGCTGCACACAAGGAAGCTCTTAAACCAAAAGTTCCAAGTTTAAATCATTCATTCGTAATATTTACGGACGTCATCACCAGTTGGTTGACCGTTATGAAGCATCTGTTACACAGATGACGACGCATATGTTCCAATTGTCGTAACTACAATCCCGTCCCCTTTTCCCCTTATGTGACCTACCGAATTAGACTTATCTCTAGGTTTGTACTTACATGAGCAACACGACGGATGCCACATATGGAGCAGGATCTGATTACCCTTCCGGAGCACCTGACATCACCCCCAGTTTTGATTGGGTTCGTGTTGCTCAGTCTTTAGTTTTCTATGTTGTGTTTTGTGTACTGTTGTTTGTCTGCTTGTCTTTTTCCTTTTTTAGCCATGGCGTTGTCGGTTTGTTTTCGACTTATGAGTTTGAATGTCCCCTTGGTATCTTTCGCCTCTCTTTTAAAGCATCAAATGATTCCTCAATAGGAAGTAGTGGATCGCATCTTTGTAGGACTTCATTTTTCTAAAATCCACACATATACGCAGAGAATTGTCTTTTTTGTACTAATACGACAGGTGAAGTGAAGGCACTCGTGTTTTCACGAATAAACTTGTTTTCAACTAGTTTTTATATATCAACATTGACCTCTTCATACTGTGAAGGCGGAATTCATCAATACGGTTGAGCAATCGTTCATCATCTAAAGTGCGAATTCTATGTTTCCCAGTTGTTTATCTAACATCACCGTCATCTTTCGAAAAGACATGACTATAGTTATAAAACGATAGCTATAGGTTCTTGTGGTACAGTAGCGGTCATTTCACTTTTTATCTTTGCAGTGTATAGTTTATCATTATATTCTTCTTCCTCAAACCACATACGCGCTTCTTCATGTATATCCAAAAACAGAATATGAGGTTGTGATCGGACTGTTTGTTTAAGATGTCTTTGTAAAATATTATCTTGATCATTTTGTGAAAACTGGTCGCACAATTGTTTTTCTTTATTTTGTATCCACGTAGAGTCGAGTCTTTATTTTTAATTTTACCCATTAAACCCATAGGAACGTGAGAATTTCCTAAATGATTCATTTGGATTTTGCACAGGATCCACAAAATTCTTTTGAGATTTGGTTATAGTATCCTTCACGCAAAAGGCTTTTTCTTTAATTTCTAAAATTTGATTAGGACTTTGTCGTTCTAGATGAGAACGCTATTTCACTTCATCTTTAGCAGAACCTTAAAGATTTAGATGTATAAAATCCGTTCGTTCCTGACATGTCATTTCACGTGAATGTAGCACAGTATTAATATCTTCAACCTAATCTTCAAGCGGGAAGTTATAACCCAGAAAATGTAGGAATCTTTCTACCTTTGTACACACATACAAATATTCTTTTCATTCGGTGCTTTTTTTTTTTACTTAATTTCAACACTAGGTTACCAGGATATTTCCTAGATTCTATTCTCCAATTCATTCACTTGCTTTTCTAAAGACTTCCAAGTATGATTACTTGCCATTTTGAACTTTCAAAACTATTGAAAATATAAAAAAAATCAAACAAATGCAAAAAAAACACATTATATAACTTCAACTAATATTCACAAAAAGTGAAGCAATGCATCATTATAATCACTTATGAATAAAACACATAATCCAGAATAAAAAAAATAATTCACTCATTTCAACATATATCATTGCAGTCACATCCTATATTCCAAATAGTGAAAAGCACAGTTACTACAGCGGTCTTCATTAGTTTAACGGTTTCAGCATTGTTAATCATCTTCGTTAAAGTTCGCCTTTCAATCATGAACCCCCTGTCTCTGGTATATACTATATTCATTGCTATCTGGTTTGTCGACGACGCCATATGTGACCAGGTGGGAAAAGGGTTTAGATGAATTGAATGCGGAACGTTCAAATAGTTTATTAAGGATTACGTACCCTTTTTTTCAATGCCAAATATACGGAAAATTTATAAAAAATCACCAGCCTTTCTTCTTGTATTCTAATATTTGACAATTCACTACTTAAAAGATATGGGATAACTGCATGCAGTGCTACCAATGTTTTTCATAAAACAAGATTTTAAATAAAGATATCTGTAAAAACAAGTACAGATATGGACGTATGCAAGCACACCTTTTAAGGTGCGCTCAGCTTTAGTGACTCAACACTTGTTTTTTGGGATTGTAGCGGTTGTTTAAATACTTTTTATAAACAATAAACACTAGCACAATACGGATCAACAGGTGAGTAATATGTGTGTAATATGTTATAACGAAAATCTTGTAATAAAGTATGTGGATTTGCTGTTAAGATCTTGGCTTGATTTGCTCTGAGACTACTATAACACAGAGATTGGTCACTATAGATTTATCGGATTATCTGAGTCTCCGGTAGTTAGCTACGTTATTTTAACGTAGTTTCGTATTCGACCGTAGCAGACGACATATATCACCTATCACTGAGAATACTATAACAGTATCGGATATTATTATTTTTCTTTTAAAA